GCTGAATCATTTTTTCACTTTGGTTTTCAGGGTATCTTTGAACTCAGTCCTCTGATGGAAAAGAAAAATAATCAACTAATCAAATGATGGGGCATCTTTGCATTCCTAACACATTACCCAGACCATATCAGTATAGATATCCAGCATTATATTTTTCCCCATTGAGATCGGATGTGTTTTCAAAGTGTTCCTTTTTTTTAATTTTTTTTTTTGAACAGAGTATGTAGTGTGGTTGATATTTCATTAATTTCTGGGATTTAGAGAATTGTGAATTAACAATGAGACAGATTTCAGGTGAAAATGGTGCATTAGAACTCTGATCTTTTATATATAAAAAAAAAAAAAAAAAATCTAAATATTATGTTTGTTTTTTGGTGGACTAATGCAATGCAGTATTGATGTGAGCAAAGCCAGGACCTAAAGGAAATCTATGCTCTAAGAAATATGATGGCTGTTATTTCACCTGATTTTAAAAATGCTGACTGCCTCGCTCTTTCCAGCCTTGCTCTTATGAGTCACTGACAAGAAACCAGAACCAGCATGGAGCGGATAAATGATCTGCTTACCAGATTAGTAGCTCAGCAAAGTATTGAAGCCATTGGATCACCATGACAGCCAGGTTGCTCACCTTTCATTAAAGGGAGTCTAAAAGCATTTAAAGGACTGCTGTACTTTAGCTCTCCACTGCTGATCTTGGTACATTTGATATGTACAGTATATACTAGCTGTTTTTTAAGATGGATTTTTGTTTGATCTTTTACTTGTTTTAATATGGTCGTTGCTATACAGCTATGACCACACTGATGTTGCTGGCACTTTCAGTGATTGCCTGACTTAAGGTTCAAATATATGTGGTTTGAACTGCATCCAATCTGCCTGACACGTGAAATAACATTGTTTCCTATGGTGCCTGTTCACATATGTCTGGTGCAGTGGCAGTGTGGATTGAAAATGTCCTGTCTGATTTCAGATCAGTGCGGTCTGGTTCAGGTGTGGATTACAGGCTAATGACTTCTATGGGAGCAGTTTCTAATCCGCATGTGTATTACATAAAAAACCTGATCTGAAGCACTACTGTGTCAATTAGCTGTGAAACCTGAGCTTCAATCCACACTGCACATGGGTGAATTTGGCTCTAAAGCAGTATGGGTGGCTTTTTTTTTTTTTTGCTTTTAAAGATCCTGTTTAATGCTGGTCATACGTGTACTAACCACTTGCCTACCGGGTACTTATACCCTCTTCCTTACAGGCCAATTTTCAGCTTTCAGCGCTTTCGCACTTTGAATGACAATTGTGCGGTCATGTAACATTGTACCCATGTGAAATTTTTTTTCCTCATAAATAGAGCTTTCTTTTGGTGGATTTGATCGCCGCTGGGTGTTTTTTTACTTTTTGCGCTATAAACAAAAAAACAAAAAATTTAAAAAAAAAAACATTTCTTTGTCTCTATTATAAAATTTTGGAAACACGTAATTTTTCTCCTTCGCTGATGCGCGTTGATGAGGCAGCAGTGATGGGCACTGATAGGCAGCACTGAAGAGCATGGATAGGCAGCACTAATTAGGTGACACTGATAGGTGGCACTGACTCGTGGGCGGCACTGATGAGCACTGGTGGGTGGCATTGCTGGGCACCGATCATCAGTGCCCTGATGATCAGTGCTGATCCCTGCTCTGACAACTGCCGGTTTTTGGCAGTACTTTGCTCACGTTCTGACAGCGTGAGGAAAGTGCAGCCAAGAACCGGCAATTGCATTTCCCTGTGATCAGTGTGCCATTGGACACGGCTGCTCATGTGGTAAAAGGCCACTGTGATTGGGCTTTTACCACATCACGTGATCAGCTGTGGTCGTAGGACACAGCGATCACGGAGATTGCCGGGTGCGCCCAGGAGAGCGGGTTATGACGCCCTCCTAGAACTGGCCGGCTGCAGTGCAGCCATCATTCGGCTATCTGCGGTCGGCAACTGGTTAAATAGGGTTGCCACCTCCATCCCTTTTTAAAACCAAACACCTTAATTTATATTGGCTTTGTGGCTCATTAAGGTGTTCATTAAACTCAGAGCCTTATCTGCATTAAATTAGCCTCAGAATCTGTGTAGTTAATGTTTTTGGTTTTAAAGGGATGAGGTGGCAATCCTAGTATTAAAGGACAAGGTCACTTTTTTTGCAGGTAAAAACAAAATGTGTATTTATTTATTTTGTCCATTGGACCCTGTAAAGGACTGCACCAGCGGCCTGTAGAGTGTGGATACTATTCAGATCTCCTACTGACCTGTCAGTACATCTGCTTGCTGTATGGGATGTATGAGCATACAGATATACTGCCAGGAAGATTCAATGAACTACCTCTGTGCTCCGGTAATTCATTGAAAACTGCAAGCCCACAGCCGCTAAGGCTGTCGGGACTTGTAGGTAACCTCTGTATGAGTGAAGTGTCTGTGTAGGTAGAGGCCTACACATCTACGCTCTTATAAATTTTGACAGATAATAGTATGGGGCAACGTTTCCCTGTCAGAGGGAAAGAGGTTGGGGTTATAGGAAATTGTTCCATATCCCACCCTAAATGGGTGCAATATGTAACATGTTCCACACTAAAGACTAGTGGAACATAGTCCAAAGGTGAATTTATCCTTTTTTACAAGGTTGGAGCACTATCTCAAACTGCTGCACGTGCATAAAGAGACTTTACTCCCCCTCCCTCTAATGAACCCCCCAGCATTGGCCAGTTTTTCAGTTGTTAACAGCAGTGCTGACAGTAAAAGCATAAGTACTGCCCTCTAATCCTTGTTTCTTTTTCTCCCCCTCTTCTTTTAGTTTCTGGTCATGATTCGGTTGAAGATGCCACTGCCTGCATGGAGCTAATGCTCTGGAAAGTAAAAGAAGACACTAAAGGCCGGCGCTAGAAATTCTGTGTTTGTTGCAATTAAAACTACTTGTGTATCATCTGTAAACTACAATAATAATCACTGTTTGCTATATGTGTTCTGTTTGTGTCTTTAAATTGTTTTGTATCGGACCTTTGTACTAGCACTTATCACCCTGTGTCCTTTTTTATTTTCTTCTCACACCCCACCCTGCAAAATCTAGATGCTGCATGTACCTTAATTAATATTTCAACTACTGCTTTCTCAGTTACCCCAGCCAAAGCTGATCTTCAAGTTTTTGGTAGCTGGAATGTTAAGCTACTGGTTTTTTTTTTTTTTTTTTTTTAATTGTATCTAAATGAGAAATGCAAGGGTTCTGTAGCAGTTTGAGGGGAAGTATGATACCTGTGAACTCAAGTAACTGCTCCCCATATCAAAATAAATATTTAAGCATGTGTGAATTTATTTGGTCTATGGTATAGTAGACTACACCTGAACAAAGTCTAGTAAATGATGTACTCTAGAAGGCTATTGTTAGACACTTTTATCTGATCCCTAAAAAAAAAAAAAAAGCAAGCATGCCCATCACTATACAGAAACTGTATTTCTGGCATTTGTTGGATACCATAGACAACTGCCTTGGAGCCCATTTACACTACTAGTCTTACATTGTGAATAGAACCTTACTGCACCATCAGAATGTGTGTGCGCGCGCGTGCATTCTCCCCCTCTTCCACATTGTGGAGAGGAGGGGGGTACCTGGTTTCGATGGGCACCTGCTTCCACCTGTGCAGAAGTCCTGCCACCATCCTCCTTCCCCCATGGAGCCTTCTGGGGTACATCACAGGTCCCAAAAGACTGCAGCCCTATTCTTAAAGTGCAGTAGGAAGCTGGCTGTGAAGCCGGGAGGCTTTACTGCTGGTTTCCCTTGCCTAAGATGCCAGTGCCTGCACCCAAAGCTGACTGAGGAATTGGCTTGGGTGACATTGCTGGATCCCTGGATATAAGTGTCCTTATATTAAAAGTTAGCAGCTCCAGTATTTGTAGCTGCTGATTTTCAATTTTTTGAAGGGAAGACTAGAGCTCCTCTTTTAGGCTGTGAAAAAAAGCAGCCTGCCCCAGATTTTTGTACTTAGTGGTAGAATTCAACCTATTTATTTTGAATAGGATATTTAATTCAGCATACCACGAACAGTCTCAAAAACAGATACCATGTCTGTTGCAGGTTACTATGTTATGATGTGAATGGGCCCTTGACCCTGGAAGGGGAAAAAAAAAAAAAAAAAATTTGGCCTCATTTTTGCATTGTTTTAGGTTTCTTGAGATGATGTGATATAAGGGGGGACGGTGGCTGCCCATTACTAAGGGAAAGTTGAATTCTCAGTGTATAAAGGAATATTTGTTGTAACTGCTACCCATACCATTACAATTATTAACTTTAGACTGAGACAAAAGTGTTGTTTGTAGGAGTAACATAAAGTAAAGGTCACCAGCTTTTTTTTTTTTTTTTTTTTTTTTTTTCTTTTTTTTTCCTTCCTTTTTTTTTCCTTCCTTTTTTTCTTAAAGAAGTGACACTAGCTAGGTGGGTAATTAGGTAAAAGAAGAGGAATTTTGACTTGCTCCACTTGTGATGTGACAAAGGCTGCTTGTCCTGCCCTTTTCCCAAGTCACTAAACCCAGTAACTGCAAGTTCAGATTTACACTGTAGGTCAAAGCTAGTGTTACAGGCCTACTAATGGCTTGCATGCTGTTATTGTATACAGTATGAGTATGTATTATATCTTCATGGCATTATTTAAATGGCCTAGAAATTTGTTTCTTTTTGGTGAAAAGTCTTATGCCTTTAAGCTATAGAAATATTACCACAGATGCGGTTTTTGTGTAATTCTTTAATAATTATAAACACAGACCTATAGTGTTAGCTATAACAGTAAAGTTGTATCACTTATACAATGTTTTTCCAATTATCATGAGTTACTATGAATTTTAGTTAATTTGGGAAGAAAATCTATTTACACAGCTCTATAAAAAAAATTTACAGGTGTAGTACAAAAAATATATTCTAGAGACCTTTCCAGACAAAAAACAATATTGCACACCCAAGTCCTGTCATGGTTGAGAGAAGACAGTGGTCATCATGCGGCTTCTTCAGCTGAGCAATCAATGCCAGCATAGGCAAACTTCTCGTAAAGTGTTGTATTCACATAGGTCTGCAAGAAGAAAGTATATATAGCTATTGGTAAACAAAGTAAAAACATTGAACTGGATGAAAATATATATTCTGTAGTAAGGTGGACCTATCATTTCACATTAATGTGGAATATGAAAGATGGACATGCAGAACCTGGCAGCTAAACCAAGCAGTTGTTCTACAGCTTTTTGTGCATTAGCCCTGGTTCACACTAATGCGGTGTGGGAAATGCAGTGAATCCTGTGCCTTTCCTACATTGCAATCGCACAGCATCCATGTGATCTGGTACTGGTGTCAATTTATTTATTTCAGGTACTTCTATAGCGCCGTCAATTTACGCAGTGCTTTACACATATATATTGAACATTCACATCAGTCCCTAACCCTCAAGGGGCATACAATCTAAGGTCCCTAACTCACATTCATACATACACATATTAGGGCTAATTTAGACAGGATCCAATTAACCTACCAGCATGTTTTTGGAGTGTGGGAGGAAACCGGAGCACCCGGAGGAAACCCACACAAGCACAGGGAGAACATGCAAACTCCATGCAGGAGGCGCCATGGTCGGGAATTGAACCCATGACCCATTTACTGCAAGGCAGACATGCTAACCACTAAGCCACTGTGCCAATGTTAAATTAACAATACCCTGAAACAGATCACAAAATACAGTGTGATTACAAGAATTCGCATTGCATGGGTGTGAATGTATGGCTCAAATCACACTGCACAGACATCGCATGTGATTTGTAAAGGAATGCGGTGCAGTTCCTGAATCAAATGAATGGGCTGCAGTGACCATGCAAATGTGAGCCGCAAACCCGCTAGGGTGTGAATCTAGGCTCAATGCAGATCAGAAGATCAAGTGCAGGTTAAATGCACCTGTCAATGCTGAATGATCACAGCAGGGTGCTAAAACAAGCTCAAAGTACATTGCCACATGTCACAAGCTCTAGGGCTAGCAAACATCTGTTCATAATCTGTTGTTTTGATTAGCAGAAAAATGAAGGTTTCATTACATAGAAAATTACAAACTATAGCATACATTAACACTAAAATGATGCATTTTTTCATATGGGTTACTACATTTTGTACATCCTTATTGCTTTTATTTATCCCAAAGGGGTCATTTATGTACTGTTTTGAAATAGCATTTACCTTTCTTTCCTCTAGCATTCGTGTCAGAGACATCAGAATTTTGGCGAATGACGGTCGTTCATATGGCTTCTCACGCCAGCATTGTCGCATTAGATCATGCCTTCAAAATATATTATAAAAAATATAGATTATTTGGCATATCGGGTACACGTGTATTTGTCTATGCTAGCCATTGAAAAGGCATCGACTTTGCAGTGATCAAAAGATGGACAGTATATTAAAGGGTAACCAAAATGAATGAGATCTCTCTGGTTGTAAGACCCCATTCCTGTGCTTTGAATTGCTAGTGAATGCAGTCAGAAGAAAACCTTAAATGATAGTGTGAAGGTTTATATAGGATTTCAGATCTGTACAGCTTCCAAATCAGTGTTATTAACTGTTGCAGAATAAGGGTGTGTGGCATATTCCCAAAACATGGCAATGAAATGCACAGGACATATGCCCTGTCCCTCTCTCCCTTCTACCACTCCCCACTCAGCCCATACATTATACAATTTTCTGAAAATTGGTTGAATCCCACCCCACCCCTTTCCCCCCAGCCCTATTGTGTTCTGCTGGCAGGCAACCATCCCTGCCAGCAAAAAACAATGATCACTGCTGGCAACTGTAGCTGCTCACATTTATCACATGATAAAATCTGACAGGCTGGTTGTACTAAAGTCAATCAATGGATCGACTTCAGTACAACCAACCTGCCCATAGAAGGATTAAATCGCTGCTGAACCGAGATTTGATGCATCTATGGCCGGCTTTACTCGGCATGACAGCAGTGGCTACAGAGCTTCTGAACAGTGTTCAGTTCATTGTTCAGAACTGTTAGAAATACAATGTAACAAAATTATTGTTACATTTTAATTACAATTTAATTCATGTGCAGATCCTTTGGTCTGCATATGATGGCAGTTAAAGTAACCCTACCAGTGAAAAATAAATAAAATGTGCTGCTATTTAATCTTTAATAATTCCCACTACTTCTTATCAGCCTGAATTAGATCCTTCCTTAGCTTATATTTTTTTCTGCTGACTTATTAATGGTTTAAAATGTTTTAACCATAATATTAAAACTTTTATTTTTTTAATTTCATTCAATTTGTTGGGTACATTTTTAGCGTCTCATTTAACCACTTGCCTACCAGGCACTTATACCCCCTTCCTTATCAGGCCAATTTTCAGCTTTCAGCGCTGCCGCACTTTGATTGACAATTGCGCAGTCATGCAACATTGTACCCATATGAAATTTTGATCATTTTTTTCTCACAAATAGAGCTTTCTTTTGGTGGTATTTAATTGCAACTGGGCACTTTACTTTTTGCGCTATAAATAAAAAAAAGTGCAAAAAATTTGAAAAAAAAAAATTTTTCTTTGTTTCTATTATAAAATTTTTCAAACAGGTATTTTTTCTCCTTCACTGATGTGCGTTGATGAGGCAGCACTGATGGGCACTGATAGGCGGCACTGATAGGCAGCACTAAAGGGCACTGATAGGCAGTACTAATGAGGTGGCACGGATAGGCGGCACTGATAGACAGCACTAATGAGGTGTCACGGATAGGCGGCACTAATATGCAGCACTGATAGGCGGCACTGATAGGTGACACTGATGATGGGTACTGATAGACGGCACTGACTGGCATCACTGCTGGGCACTGACTGGCGGCACTGACTGGCACAACCCCTGGGCACTGACTGGCAGCACTGCTGGGCTGCACTGGTGGGTGGCACTGGTGGGCACAGGTGGGTGGGCACAGGTGGGTGGCACTTCTGGGCACAGGTAGGTGGCACTTCTGGGCACAGGTGTGTGACACTGCAGAGTGGCACAGGTGGGTGCACTGCTCGGCACAGGTGGGTGATCTGCTGGGCACAGGTGGGCGGAGCTAGTGGGCGCACTGCTGGGCACAGGTGGGCGGAACTTGCGGGTGGCACTGCTGGGCACCGATCATCAGGGCACTGATCATCAGTGTCCTGATGATCGGTGCCGATCCCCGTTGTGACAACTGCCGGTTCTCGGCAGTACTTTCCTCACAATCTGACAGCGTGAGGAAAGTGCAGCCGAGAACCGGCACTTGCATTTCCCTGTGATCAGCGTGTCATTGGACACCGCTGATCACGTGGTAAAAGGCCGCTGGGATCGGCCTTTTACCACATCATGTGATCAGCTGTGTCCGTAGGACACAGCGATCACGGAGATCGCCGGGTGCGCGCCCCCTGGGGCGCGCAGGAGAGCGCGTTCTGGGGGGACGTCATATGACGTCCACCCAGAACTGGCCGGCCGCAGTGAAGCCGTCATTCGGCTATCTGCAGTCGGCAACTAGTTAAAGAATGCTAAAAGTTGAAATCAAGTCTATGAAATAACTTTGCATTGCATAGAAAATATCCACTGGAACTAAAATCTGCTTTATAAGACTAGTACTGACAGATTCATAAATATTTCCTCAATGTCAAAATGCATCCTTAGAAAAATAGAGCTGTATCCCAATAACAAGCCTGACAAAAGTGACTGAATACAACATGCAGTCACCGCCCACTTTATTAGGTACACCTTGTTAGTGCCAAGAGAATATCCCCTACACCACCAGCCTGAGCCGTTGATACAAGGCAGGATGGATCCATGCTTTCATGTTGTTTATGCCAAATTCTGACCCTACCATCTAAATGTTGCACCAACCAGTCTGCCCATTCTCCTCTGACCTCTGACATCAACAAGGCATTTTTGTCCATACAACTGCCACTCACTGGATATTTTCTGTTTTTTGGACCATTCTTTGTAAACCCTAGAGATGGTTGTGCGTGAAAATCCCAGTAGATCAGCAATTTATGAAATACTCAGACCAGGCTGTCTGGCACCAACAACCATGCCACATCCAAAGTCACGTTCTTCCCCATTCTGATGCTCGGTTTGAACTTCAACAAGGTGTCTTCACCACGTCTCCACCACCATTCCTAAATGCATTAAGTTGTTGTCATGTGATTGGCTGATTAGCAATTTGTGTTACCAAGCAATTGAACAGGTGTAGCTAATAAGGTGTCAGTCAGTGTAGATATGCTATTTGCCATATATTTTATGATGGATGGAAAATTGAACACACTACTTATCTACTTCACCAATAGGTGGCAGCACACTAGCGGAATAGTATAAACTGATCTAGCAGATAAGTGACATATGGCCAATATCATATTTTCCACATTGCAACACTGCCTGTGTTTAAAAAAGTTCTTTGATAAATAAGTAGTTATTGGCTAACACTATTTGACCCTCAGAGATTACATGCAGTGAAAGGGTTAAAGGACAAATGTATTGCTGAAATATGAAAGCTGTCATTCTGATCCAGAGGCTTCAGGACTCAGAGTCATATAGTCACAACAGGTATGCAGATATTGAGCTTTAATCTTTCTAATCTGAATGCTTATTAGGTGGAATAATGACTCAAAGGGGGAGATTTACTAAAACTGGAGAGTGCAAAATCTGCATAGACAGCTATGCCCTGATCGCCCATTCATCTGAATGCTGCAGACCCCCATCGTATGGGATCACACGGGGGGGCTCCACATCACACACATTTGGCTGGATCGGGCAGATCTCTCGCATCGTTTAAACTTTTCACTCATCCACTTGTCCGATCTTCAATGCCAAGGACTGAATGTGTCTATAGGGTGGGTGATCGCTTGCTGCTAGCCTCTGGTCCAAGAATCCTCTGAGATTACTCTTCCTGCATCAGGACCCTGGGAGGATCTGGCTGCTAGTCTGGTGGATGCTGGAGGTGGAAGGCGAAATCCAGAGAGGAATCCATTCTGATAGGATCGGTTGATCCTTAAAGCGTGCTGGCCCTGTGGGGTCTAAGTAAGGAGGTGAGGGGCATTTTGGCCGATAAGGATTGGCACGTGTGAATCACGCACACTGCACATTATATCTTTTGCATGAAGAGTGGAGTGTGAAGATCACCACAACGCATTGCATTATTATACTTACCAATTGTTTGGACTTTTTTTGCAACTCAATATTGGTTCATTTATTTTGAGCACTGTACGTTTTTTTTGTCACTATATTGTTCTATGATTATATTTGTCACTTTTTGCACTAGATATTCCCTTAAGGAATTACACGCATGACACTAATATACAATTATTGATTATTTTGGATATATACTCTTAGGGGTGTATATCGAGTTTATTTATTGTATCACCTATTCATTGGATACTTATATATATATTATTGATTAGCGCTGCACTGTTTATTTAATAAAATCTGGAGCAGCTCTGCATAGAAACCAATCAGCTTCCAGGTTTTAATATCAAAGATTAATTGAACAAGCTGAAGTTAGAAGTTGGATTTATTACCGTGCACAGCTGTACCAAGTTTAGCAAATCTCCCACCTAATATGTTGAATATGACACAGCAAAAAAAACTCACATTTTTTTCGAGATCCTCTATTTAATCATTGAAGTGTAGATTTTTTTTTCTGGTTCAGAAATGTTATATGTGTATTAAATGTGTGTTTAATAGAGAAATGAGAATCCCATTAAAACTATTTTTGTCAGCAAAATTTGTTATAGTTTGTGGTTTTATAATTTGCCAGTTTGTATGCAAATTGTGCTTTTAGGGGTTTTTAAAACCACACTGGTAAAATGGGATTTCAAGAAATGAACACATTTACAATAATAAACAGCTTCCAAAGTGATGCTCAGGATATCATTCTTTTCTTACACTTCATCATCGCAATTGAGAGGTTTTTCAAGTCTGTAGCCTTGTGGTAACTTCTCATAGAGTTCTGCACATGTCATACCGCAATATGGAGTCCCGCCTGCAGGTTGGAAATAAGTTATATTAATAGCTATATAATATCAGCAATTTAGATCCTCTATATAACCGTCAATATTAATATGTGGTGTAAGCTTTTCTTCCTACTTCCTAATTGTTCCTTTGTACAACTGTCAGTAAAAAATTATTTTGAATCTACTGTATATTGTAGTAACTAAATTCAAATAAAGCTTCAAATAGTAACATTATGTAATAACATAATTTAATTTAAAAAACTATGTAATAAAAAAGCACCTTTGTAGCTATAGGCATTGTGGATAAACTCATCTTTATGGTTTATTACAGAGGCACTGACATTACAGCTGCTATCCCTTAGAGCTGTTAGAGACTAACGTAAAGTCAACTTCAAAGTATTTATTGTGATCATTAATGAAAAATTACTTTACAGTACATGCAGCTACAGATGTCAGTGATGAATTGTTTTAAAGCTTCTTTACTGCTTGTTAATAATATGTAAATACTCATAGTCTGAGCACAAATGCATTTTAAAGTAAATATAATACAAGTCTGGGTAATTCAACCTAAGCACAGGATGAAAGCTGCAGAAACAGAGGGCAACCAAGCTCAACCTTTACAGAAAAAAATAATATGGTTTCATTTACCTACATTTCTGGGTCTACTAAACATTCTGCTTATGCTTATTTAATCATATGCTCAGTTTGTGATGTGTTTACTTTATATACATAATTTAAGAATTGTAAAAATATGTAGTCAATCTTTTTTTTAACAGCGTTGATATATCATGATATACAGTATATGGAAGATACCTATATAAGCAAGAAAAAAATTATACTCAAACAAAAAAGTTTGAAAAACCATAGGACTTGGCTGCAATTCCTTAGGAATGTTTCCCAACAATGTGATTAGTTCCTAATTTTAGTTACAGAAAAGACAGTCCTATTTGCCAAACAGAACACACAGGTTTATTTACTAAAGCTGAAGAGTGCAAAACCAAGCTCACTTCTGCATAGAAACCAATCAGCTTCCAGGTTTTATTTCCAAAGTTTAGTTGAAGAAGCTGAGGTTACAAGCTGATTGGTTTCTATGCAGGAGTGAGTCTGATTTTGCACTCTCCAGCTTTAGTAAATAACCCCCACTTTGGTAAAATGGTCTAAACAATTACGGTAATTGATGGAAAGTGGTGCTGCTGCCCATTCCAAGTTTTCTAAAGACCACCTGGATGTTCAAAGCATTACTGGAGCAACAGCCACGCACTATATCGTTAACTCAAATGTGTGTGATAGAAGTATGAAGTTGTGGGTTGCTTTGCTAGTTTAGTACCTGAACAGTTTACAGATACTATGGATCCAAATAATTTCAAAATTCTACCTAAGAATAGCCATATGACCTTGATTTAAAACTTTAAAGAAGCTAGAGTATGCAATATAACAGTGATCCAAAATATGGTAGCAAATCAGAAAAAAGGTTTTAAAATAGCGAGGTCATAATCTTAAATTGAAAGCCAATGAAATGGGGTGTGATTCTGAGAATACGGTTTTGTATACAGAAATTGGACAGGATAATTTCTAACACTGCATATGCCTGATTAATAAGTACTAATAGACTTTAGCTGAGGTTATTGGTAAAAAGGGGGGGTTCCACTAGTCACATTGGGGTTTATTTACTAATGCAGGCCATACATGGGTCGAATTCTGAACAAATTTTCTTTAGAAAATCTGAACTTTTGTGCGTTTTGTAATCCGATGTTGCCACCATTGATTTTGAATTTCAACCAGCCAAGCCTACAATTTCAACTCGAGTTGCTACAGAAAAGAATTTTCGTGGCCAAGAATTTTCTTTTCTTTCCAGGTCACAGCTTTATATTTCTTGCACAATTCTCCCATCATTGATTCAAAATTCATTCGTTTTTCAAAAAATTTACAACATGCCTAATCACTCAAATTCGATGGTCACACAAAAATCGGCTGTTTCTGTGGCCCACTAATGGTGCAAAATTCACACGAAAATTCTTACAAAAGATTTTCGAAAGAAAATTCTTTCGGAATTCAACCCGTGTATGGCCGGCTTTAAGCTGGTTCACTCAGAATCTTGTTCACTTTTACACAGAAACCAATCAGCTTCCAGGTTTTATTGCTAAAGCTTAATTGAACAAACTGAGGTTAGAAGCTGATTGGTTACTATGCACAGGTGAACCAGATTCTGAGTGAACCAGCTTTAGTAAATCCCCCCAAGATATGAGAGTCACGTCCACAAACTATTTGTTCAAAACAAATGCTGTAATGTAAAATCTGTGGAGTCGAGAGGCAATGGGGGGACTTCCAGTTCCAAAACAGCTAGAGTGTCCCATATTATCTATCGCTACTCTAGAGTTTGTAAATCTAGTGCAACACATTCTTACTAAAACAGAACGTTATGTAACTATATGAATAAAATGTATATACAGGCAGGGGCCTCATGGGACCCCCGGGCAATAGGGGATCATGGGGCCCCTATGTCCTTGTCCAAACTCAAAAAAGCCTATGAAAAAGGTACCAGGGGCATCTCATGGGGCCCCCTACTGACCCCATGCCCTCAGGCAGTGCCCGAGTTTCAAAATGGTCAGTCCGCCCCTGCATACAGGAAAAAACTGTCTATTTTTAAATTCAGGTATTCTTGTGCTGTGTTAAAGCTGTTACACTTACCCAAACTGACAATTTCCCATAATAAAACACCAAATGACCATCTATAAGGAAACAAAATGAATATTATTGGTCAATGAATTACAAATATGTAAAACCATGGGCTGAAATGTATCTACTGCACATATTATTTATGCAACATCCATTTATGACCTATGAAAGCAATTGCATTAAAATACCAATTGTGAAAATATATTGCTAACAAATCCCAATGAAATTTATATTGGTTTTATGATAATCTTTAATTTGGTTTAATCTTGATGATCTGCAACTGCTTGAAGTACACTACATAGCAGCCCTTAGTCAGCAAAAGGAGCTAAGTGCAAAGCGTAGCACAAGCAGAGTACTAAAGCAAGCAAAAGGAATCTCGTATGTATTGCTGAGGCTTTTATGAAGTGAACACTGGTTGAAATTAGGTACTACACTTTGCTTTCAATGCTTTGCTTCCTACAGTATTTATTGAAAAGAGCCCAGTACAGTAGGTTTCAATGTACTTTGAGTTACTGTGCCAGAACAAATTTGCAGCCAGACAAGTGAGAGGGGAACTTGGCAGCTAGGAAAACAGCATTTTCAGAAGGAGAGGTCAGTACATATTTCTCTTTAAAAGGCCAAGGTTTGCTAGGTTTCCAAACACCAAAGGTTTTGGTAAAATTATTGTTCAGATTCAAGCAGACAAGATATTGTAAAATGATATCCTTTACAGAATGAGGAGAGCCAAGATCTTTGGATCAGTTCCTCCTTCAAAATAATTAAGGGATTTAAGAAGTCTTAACAAGGGTCCCTAGTTATGCTTTTCTTTTATAGGTCTGTTTGTTCTTTATTGATAATCTCCTGATTTTCCCATCAGATGCCATTATATCTTAAGAATGAGGCTGTAATATTATTAGCACTGCCTCCAATTTTGTAGCCAAGCCCCCTTTTCCAGTAAAATGGGCTTTATACAGGTTTTAAAAAGTACAGGATGGGGGTTCAATTTTTATTTTTTTTCTAGAAAATTTCTCTATTTATTACTACATGAAACATCCTTTCACTAAAATAAAGCAGTATATACAACTGATTAGAATTAAAATGTACTTACACATCACTGTTTGTTGTATAAACGCTGTAGTTCAAAGATTCAATTGCCATCCATCGAACTGGGAGCCGCCCCTAAGTAAAATATTATCAAATATAGTATGCCATTCATATAGATCTTGCTTTATGGGAAACATAAAGTATAGTATAAAAATAGGCAAAAGTGAACGAGCGCAACTTAATACAACTTGATGCAGATTTAGATGAAACAGATATAATGATATGGAGCTGCTAGCATAAAAGGTATACCTGGCACCTCAGTAATAAATAAAAATCTAAAAAATGCAGCGCTGAAATTATGATTGTGGTAATGACCATGAAATGCAAACAGAATGTTCGAATGGATTATCCCTTCATACAGCAACAACTTGAAAGCCCTGTTGATGTAAAGTTTTCCAATATTGCAGAGGTCAAAGTGATGTGATATACTTCTGGCTACTCCGTGAGGTGATAGTACAATAATGCACTTACCAGAAGTACATACAAACTGAGCGTTGTATGTAAATAATCCGTGGAGATTTCAGGGTCTGGTCACCGAAATGGCGTCATCTAGGGCTGCAGCAGACTCCCAGGAATGGTGTCACTCACACTTGGGGGTCATCATAGGCTCACCAGAAGGTCCAACGCCGTTCAGACTCCTGGATCCACTCCTCCCTAATTGGCTCGAGATAAAACGAGCCCGGGAGGCAAAATGGTGCTAATAGTGTAATCCCGTTTATTGAATCCACAAAAATGTTTAAAATGCAGAACACTCACATATGTTACAGCAGAATGGTTTTCAGGCATAACTCAAAGTAATTCATCATCTGGTAGTCAACAGCGTTTTTTGACCCTTTTTTGACGCTGTTGACTACCAGATGATGAATTACTTTGAGTTATGCCTGAAAACCATTCTGCTGTAACATATGTGAGTGTTCTGCATTTTAAACATTTTTGTGGATTCAATAAACGGGATTACACTATTAGCACCATTTTGCCTCCCAGGCTCATTTTATCTCGAGCCAATTAGGGAGGAGTGGATCCAGGAGTCTGAACGGCGTTGGACCTTCTGGTGAGCCTATGATGACCCCCAAGTGTGAGTGACACCATTCCTGGGAGTCTACTGCAGCCCTAGATGACGCCATTCCGGTGACCAGACCCTGAAATCTCCACGGATTATTTACATACAACGCTCAGTTTGTATGTACTTCTGGTAAGTGCATTATTGTACTATCACCTCACGGAGTAGCCAGAAGTATATCACATCACTTTGACCTCTGCAATATTGGAAAACTTTACATCAACAGGGCTTTCAAGTTGTTGCTGTATGAAGGGATAATCCATTCGAACATTCTGTTTGCATTTCATGGTCATTACCACAATCATAATTTCAGCGCTGCATTTTTTAGATTTTTATAAAGTATAGTACAAGAGAAGGGGTGCTGTACTAGGGTATGCTGTTAAAAACTGCACATATCCTTGAACTACAGCATAACTGTTTCAAAATCGCTGAAACCAATTTATAGTTGCATTTCACCTCAAATACTGTAGAACATTGCTATAATCTCCAATGACTACATTAATCTCTTTAAATAAGTTTGTGGATGACACAGGAAGGGCTAACTTTACAGAACAAATACTGAACATGTAAATTTGTCAGCTTTGCATGCCACTAATACTATGCAAGTTAGTAAATTGTCTCTAATGTTTTTAGGTTAAAAAAAAAGTAAAGATACTTGCCATTGTCTTTTTTACATAGACCTCTTGCCCCCGAGATAACCCAAAATCAGCAATTTTCGCTATGTAATTTTCACCAACCAAAATATTTCTGGCTGCTAAGTCTCGATGTATGAACTAGCAAAAGGCAAAATGCAATGATTACTTGATACATCAAAATATAGAAATAGAACAGTAACTCTTCTACACTGTATGTAGAAAAGATGACTATATTTAAATTAAATTATACTGTATATGTATTTGTAATTGTGTTAATTAGTTTAAGAAGGATGGCACAGGTTGGGTCTGTTTCATGTACTTGATGATATTTTTAATACTTTTTAAAAGTGGACCTCCATGGTCCTAGTAAAGGACATATTAATACATACATACAGTATATACACTGCTCAAAAAACATTAACCACTTGCCTACAGGGCACTTATACCCCCTTCATGCCCAGGCCAATTTCCATCTCTCAGCGCTGCCACACTTTGAATGACAATTGCGCGGTCATGCAACACTGTACCCATATGACATTTTTATCATTTTATTGTGACAGATAGAGCTTTATTTTGGTGGTATTTAATCACCTCTGGGTTTTTATTTTTTCTTAAACAAACCAAAAACCACTGAAAATTTTGAAAAAAAAACTTTTGTTCTTAGTTTTTGTTAGAAAATTGTGTAAATAAGTGATTTTTCTCCTTCACTGATGTGCGCTAATGAGGCTGCAGTGATGGGCACTGATAGACTGCACTGATGGACAATGATAGGTGGCACTGGTGGGCACTGGTGAGGAGGCACTGGTAGGTGGCACTGATGGGCATTGACAGGCATCACTGATGGGCACTGAAAGGCAGCACTGATATATGGCACTGATAGGAGGCACTGACTGGCACTGATAGGCGGCACTGACTGGCACTGTTAGGCGGCACTGACGGGCACTGATAGACGGCACTGATGCACACTGATAGGCGGCACTGACTGGCACTGATAGGTGGCACTGATTGGCAGCACTGATAGGTGGCACTGACTGGCATTGATAGGTGGCACTGACTGGCACTGATGGGTGACACTGAAAGGCAGCTCAGATGGGCACTGATATGTGGCATTGATGTGCACTGGTAGGCACTGATATGTGGCATTTATGTGGCACTGATGGGCACTGGCACGTGGCACTGTTCAGCACTAACAGCTGGCACTGATGGACACTGACAGCTTGCACTTCTGGGGCCACACTGATCATCAGGGCACACTTATCATCAGTGCCCTGATGATCAGTGTACATGTCCCCTCCGCGGAATGCCGATTACCGGCTCTCCTCTCCTCTCGAGCTGTCAGCGTGACAGCTCGACAGGAGAGAAATGCCGATAACTGGCATTTCCCTGTTTACAAGTGATCAGCTGTGATTGGACACAGCTGATCACATGACCGAGCCGACATCTTCGGCTCTTTCCTTATATCGGTGATCCGCTGTGTCCAAGGGACACAGCGCACCGCCGATCGCCGCGCTGCACACTCCCTGAGCCGCGCATGCGCGGCGAGAATGGGAGGACGTCATATGACATCCTCCCAGAACGAGAGAACCACCTTGCTCCTGTCATTGGACTATATGGCGGGCGGGAGGTGGTTAAAGGAACGCTTTTTAATCAGACTATAGCATCAACTCCTGGGATATTGATCTGGTCAGTTAAGTAGCAGAGGGGGTTGTTAATCAGTTTCAGTTGCTTTGGTTTTAATGAAATTAACAGGTGCACTAGATGGGCAAAATGAGACAACCCTAAAAACAGGAATGGTTTTACAGGTGGAAGCCTCTAACATTTTTTTCCCTACTCATCTTTTTCTGACTGTTTTTCACTAGTTTTGCATTTGGCTAGAGTCAGTGTCACTACTGGTAGCATGAGGCAATACCTGGACCCTACAGAGGTTGCACAGGCAGTCCAACTCTTCCAGGATGGCTCATCAATATATGCCATTGCCAGAAGGTTTGCTGTGTCTTCCAGCACAGTCTCAAGAGCATGGAGGAGATTCCAGGAGACAGGCAGTTACTCTAGGATAGCTGGGCAGGGACATAGAAGGTCCTTAACCCATCAGCAGGACCAGTATCTGCTCCTGTGTGTAAGGAGGGACAGGATGAGCACTGCCAGAGCCCTATAAAATGACCTCCAACAGGCCACTGGTGTAAATGTCTCTGACCAAACAATCAGAAACAGACTTCATGAGGGTTGCCTGCCCAACACCATAGAGCTCGACTGGCATTTGCCATTGAACACTAGAATTAGCAGGGCCGCCACTGGCGCCCTGTGCTTTACACAGATGAGAACAGGTTCACCCTGAGCACATGTGACAGAGGTGAAAAGGGTCTGGAGAAGCCATGGAGAATGTTATGCTGCCTGTAACATCGTTCAGTATGACCATTTTGGTATTGGGTCAGTGATGGTCTGGGGAGGCATTTCCATGGAGGGACGCACAGACCTCTACAGGCTAGACAATGGCGACCTGACTGCTATTATGTATTAGGATGAAATCCTTGGACCCATTGTCAGACCCCTACGCTGGTGCAGTGGGTCCTGGGTTCCTCCTGGTGTACAATAATGCCTGGCCTCATGTGGCGAATGTATGCAGGCAGTTCCTGGAGGATGAAGGAATTGATACCATTGAATGTCCCCCATGCTTGACCTGACCTAAATCCTATAGAACACCTCTGGGATATCATGTTTTAGTCCATCCGACGTTGACTTCTACCTCAGACTGTCCAGGAGCTCAGTGATGCCCTGGTCCAGATCTGGGAGGAAATACCCCAGTACACCATCCACTGTCTCATTAGGAGCATGCCCTGACATTGCCAGGCATGCATACAAACACGTGGGGGCCATACAAACTACTGAGTACCATTTATCATTTTGAGTTGCTGCAATTAAATTTCAACAAAATGGATTAGCCTGCTACATCATTTTTTCACTTTGATTTTCGGGTGTGTCTTTCAATTCAGTCCTCTGTAGGTTGATAATTTTCATTTCCATCAAATGATGGGGCATCCTTACATCCCTAACACATTACTCAGTCCATATGAGTATAGATATCCAGCACGATATTTTTCCCATTGAGATCTAATGTTTTTTCAAAGTGTTCCTTTCATTTTTTTGGAGCGGTATTTATGTATGTATATATATTTATTTTATGTGTGTATGTATGTGTGTGTAAGTTGGAGGTTCAGCTTTGATATAAAAGCATTTGTTTCCTTAATGCTAAATGTCAGGGAGTCTTCTCTCCCAGGGCCCTTCGGGAACATTGGCCAGCTAACAGATCCATATACCAACACTTCCGTTCTGTCACTACCTTCAAATGACTAATTTAACATTGGTAATTTTTTTATAATATTTTATAAGTACAAAGTTATCTCAGACTCATCTGGTAATGCCTAGAGCCTGTTTTATGAGAACATTTATCTACAGTGTAAAATTATTGTAATGGTTCATTTGGTACAGTATCTGTGAAGATAGTTTATCTAGGCAATTAACAGGGATGATGCATGATCCAGCAATTTACTGGTGGACTCTTTGCTAATTTATTTGAATTTGTGCATGTCAGTTCACAATAGGCAAATGCAGATTCAAGGAGAATTGTGAATTCTGATTCGTCTGTGTACTATTAGATTCACAAATCTATCAATAAATAATATCAATAATAAATAAAAATAGACAAATGTGTTATGTACAGATGTACAATGATATCTGCTTTTCAGAGCTTTCATAACCTTCCAAATCTCAATATACTTCTATAATAAATTTTTGAAATGTGCACCATGCCAACCTGTTTTTGGCTTAGGTAATCCATGCCTCGGGCTACATCTGCTGCAAACTGGAGAAGCTGCTGGGATGACAAGGTTGATGCTGTACTGTTAGCTATTGCAAATGCTGGATCTGTCTCCAGTACTCTACTTTTCCGGAGAAAATCAAGAAGGTTGCCATGAGGAGCATACTCTATTGCCAAGTATAAGTAGCCTGTAAAAAAGAAACGACGACACATATGAAACAGTAAAGATATGTAGAGAATTGCAACCAAAAAAATCTTATTTTGGGATAAAAGATACAAGAATCTTCTTTCAATAGCAGAACTCCCACAATAGTGGGATAGACTTCCATAATTCTGAAAGTACATAATTACATCTACCGTATATACTCGAGTATAAGCCGAGCTTTTCAGCACATTTTTTGTGCTGAAAAACGGCCCCCTCGGCTTATACTCGAGTCAACGTCTGCAGATGACATGCCGTCCCTGTCATCTAGACACACCCCCGGGATCAATCCTCGCCGGTGATTGGCCGCCGGAACTGTAGCTCAGGAGAGGCGCACAGGCGCCCAATCACCGGCGAGGCGGTGGAGCTTGGAGAGGAGGAGCCGAGCGGCACCGCGAAGATCGAGCAAGTGGGGCACTATTCCTCCCACACTGACACCAATGATGGGGCACTATTCCTCCCCCCACTGACACCAACGATGGGGCACTATTCCTCCCCCCACTGACACCAACGATGGGGCACTATTCCTCCCCCCACTGACACCAACGATGGGGCACTATTCCTCCCCCCTCGGCTTATACTCGAGTCAATAGTTTTTCCCAGTTTTTTGTGGTAAAATTAGGTACCTCGGCTTATATTCGGGTCGGCTTATACTCGAGTATATACGGTATTTGTAACTCAATTCCCAAAATTTACTCTCATTTCTGAGTAAACCCTCTTAACATCATGAAGTATATTATTTATTAACTGGGCTCAGAATGGGACATTGGGCTTCTTTGGGCTTTCATTGGGCTGTTTTATAATTCTCTAATGCTTTTTTTTTCACTTGCAAGTCTGATATGTATGAAATAAACGTACATTCTGATTGTTTTGAAAATTATGATTTTATCATTGTAAAACATTACTCTTTAGCTGCTATTTTCTGACTACACTCAGTCTGGCTGTCCTTTTAAAGATTTAGCTATATACAGTATATGAGAATCAAGAACCAAATCTTAGATCCTGATGACGGAGTCTTGAAGCAACTGCAACCCTGTGCTTTCCCTTTTGGTAAACAAATGGGACACAACATAGCAGATGATATTATTATTCTTATTATTATACAGTATTTATATAGCGCCAAAGGGTTTGCTCAGCGCTGTACAGTAGCAAGGGGGACATAACATGAGACAAGACAGTAACAATACAATACACGAGGGGTTCGAGGGCCCTGCTCTTTCGAGTTACAATCTAGGAGGGAGGGGAAAGTGGTACAGGAGGAAATGGCTGTGGGGGATGGAGTGGTGGGAGGAGTGGAGGAGGTTAGTTGTTAGGTGAGGTCAGGTGTTAGGTGAGGTTGGGGTAGGCTTCCCTGAAGAGGAGGGTTTTCAGGGTGCACCTGAAGGTGAGGAGGGTAGGTAACAGTCTGATGGATTGGGGTAGGGAGTTCCAGAGGATGGGGGAAGTCTGAGAGAAGTCCTGCAATTGGGGGGCGTGGGAGGAGGAGACCAGGGAGCTAGAGAGTAGGAGGTCCTGTGAGGAGCGGAGGGCACGGGTAGGGTAGTATTTGGGTATCAGGTCGGTTATGTAGTTTGGGGCGGCGTTGTGAATGGCTTTGTAGGTGAGAGTAAGCAGTTTGAATTTGATGCGTTGGGCAACCGGGAGCCAGTGAAGGGATTGGCAGAGGGGGGAGGCGGATGTGGATGTGGAGCGGTTGGTGAGGTGGGTGAGTCTAGCCGCTGAGTTCAGGATCGACTGGAGTGGGGATAGCGTTCGTTTGGGTAGGCCAGTGAGAAGGGAATTGCAATAGTCCAGGCGTGAGATGATGAGGGAGTGTACGAGTTGTTTGGTGGTGTCTGGGGTGAGGAATGTGCATATCTTGGAGACGTTGCGGAGGTGGAGCCTGCAAGATCTAGATAGCAGTTGGATGTGGGGTAGGAAGGAGAGGTGGGAGTCCAGGGTGACACCCAGGACTTTGGCGTGTGGGGTGGGAGAGATGGTGGTGTTGTTAGTAGTGATGGACAGGATGGGGGGGGCGTGGGGTGGGGGGAAGACCAGGAGCTCAGTTTTGGATAGGTTGAGTTTGAGGAAATGGAGCGACATCCAGTCTGATATGTCGTTTAGGAGGTGGGCGATGCGGGCAGAGAGTGAGGGGGTGAGGTGGGGGGTGGAGAGGTAAATTTGGGTGTCGTCGGCATGGATGTGGTAATTGAAGCCGTGGGAGTGAATAAGTTTGCCAAGGGAGGAGGTATAGATGGAGAAGAGGAGGGGTCCGAGGACAGCCTTGGGGGACCCCGACAAGGAGGGGGAGGGAGGGGGGAGGTGGCAGTGTTGTAGGTGACGCTGAAGGAGCGTTGGGAAAGGTAGGAGGAGAGCCAGGAGAGAGCAGCGTCCCTGATGCCAAGGGAGTGCAATTTGGCAAGGAGGAGAGGGTGGTCAACAGTGTCGAAGGCCGCGGAGAGGTCGAGGAGCAGGAGGATAGAATAGTGGCCATTGGCTTTGGCGGTTAGCAGGTCGTTGGTGATTTTAAGTAGGGCTGTTTTGGTAGAGTGTAGGGGACAGAAGCCAGACTGTAGGGGGTCAAGGAGGTTGTTATCAGTGAGGTGGGCGCCTAGGCGATTGTAGGCCAGGCATTCAAGGAGCTTGGAAGTGAAAGGCAGCAGGGAGATGGGTCTAAGGTTGTTAAGGTCAGTGTGGTCAAGGAGAGGTTTTTTGAGTATGGGGGTGATGTGTGCGTGCTTTAGAGTGGAGGGGAAGGTGCCAGTGGAGAGGGAGAGATTGAAGATGTGGGTGAGGGAGCGAATGATGGGGGGGGGGGGGGGGTGATTGGAGGAGCTGTGAGGGGATAGGGTCCAGGGGCAGGTGGTGAGGCGGGCTTCAGTGAAGACCTTAGAAACCTCCTCAAGGTGGTTGGGCTGAAGGAGCTGAGTGTTGGGGAGGTGATGGTGCGTGGGGCATTAGGAATAGTGGGGGGGTAGTGCAGCTATGAGGTCGGGGGAGGGGAGGGTTGAGGGGTTGAAGGAGGGCGGGAGGCTGGGTGGAGAGGTGGATTGTGAGTTGACAATGTCCTTACGGATTGCGCCAATCTTGTTTTGGAAGTGATTGGCAATCTCGTGGGCGGTGAGTGAGGTGCAGGGTGGAGGTGGGGGGGGGGGGAGAGAGCAGGGATTTGAAAGTAGAGAAGAGCCGGCGAGGACAGGTGGAGAGGGTGTTGATAAGGGTTATGAAATAGGCTTGCTTGGCGACGTGGATGGAGGTGGTGTAAGCGAGGTAGGCGGCTTTATAGAGGGAGAACGCGCAAGGTGATCTGGTTTTGTGCCATGAGCGCTCCAGCGCGCGACTGCGTTGTTTGAGACATTTCGTGTGGTCGTTTTGCCAGGGTTGAAGGTCGGGGTCTAGTGCTACGTGTGTGGTTAGGGGTGCCAGGGAGTCAAGGGCAGCTGACAGTGAGTCGTTGTATGCAGTAGTGGCCAGGTCAGGGCATGACAGAGGGAGGATACTGTCATACAGATGGTCAGCTGCCGGGTGGAGATGGGTCGGGTTCAGATTGCGGAGGTTTGCGGGGGACGGTTAGACGCTTCGGGGGGGGGGGAGTGTAGGGAGGGGGAGATGGAGAATGTGAGGAGGTGGTGGTCAGAGAGGGGGAAGGGGGTGTTAGTGAAGTCGTGGGGGGTGCAGAGGTGGGAGAAAACGAGGTCCAGGGTGTTTCCATTGGAGTGGGTGAAGGACTGAGTGTGCTGTGTGAGCGTGAAAGAGGAGGTTAGAAGGAGGAGTTGGGAAGTAGCCGGGCTGTTGGCGTGGATCGGGATATTGAAGTCGCCAAGGATGATGGTTGGTAGCTCGGAGGAGAGGAAGAAGGGAAGCCAGGAGGCAAAGTCATCTAGGGAAGGGGGATGCGGAACCAGGAGGCCGATAGATTAACGCAATCCTTAGGGGGGTGGGAGAGAAGAGCCGGATGCAGTGGGCCTCGAAGGAGGAGAAGGATAAAGAGGGGGGGTTAGGGAGGACCTGGAAGGTGCTCAGCGGTGGTAGGAGCATACCGACCCCACCGCCTCTGCGGCCACTCGGTCTGGGTGAGTGGGTCCAGACGAGGCCTCCATAGGAGAGGGCTTCAGGGGAGGCGGAGTCAGTGGCTTGGATCCAGGTTTCGGTGACCGCTAGGAGGTTGAGGGAGTGGAAGACAAAGAGGTTGTGGATGGCGGTGAGCTTTTTGCAAACCGAATGATTGATATGATCAATAAGCAGTCTAAATACCTGCTTGTAGACCTTTTTGTAGCATCTTCTCTACAGCACTGAGTCTGGCCCTGATTCTTACTAACTAATGTAGTTACCACATTGGTGCACACACACAAGTTTAAGTGGTATTCAGTTAACTTACCCGTATGGTATTGGATTGGATTGGATTGGATTGGGATATAACCCACACAAACATTGGGATAACACACACCATTCATGCAGATTGGCCTGCAAGTCTTTGTTTATCTTATACATTTGTCATTTAAAAACCATTTGTCATTTAATCTAACCATGTAACAAATAGTATCCTTACTGTCAGTTGAACCCAGGATCCCAGCAACAATAGTATAACAAAAAATATTACTGACCACTAAAGCTAGCCATAGATGGATCAATTTCTGTCCCGTTCAGTGGGAAACCGACCAAATTTCGAACCATCTATGGGCAGGCTGGTTGTACTGAAGCCTGTAGGTTCTTTTTTTGTTCGATCCTTGCTGGCAGCTATAGCCAACAGCAATGATCATGGTATTCTCCTCCTGCTGTCAGAATACAATAGCACACTGGGAGGGATTTCCCCATCACCACTGACTACTGTATGTTGATGGGAAAATTGAGCAATTTTCTTTCCTTCAACCCTTGAGAAGATCAGCTTCTAAATGTAAGAATGAATGTACAAGACACAAAATATATCAGAACCAATTTCAGCAAAAATCAAAGTATGTTGCCATTTTAAAAGTATAAGATTTTTATCATGTTTAACCTGCTTCCTATTAGACATGTCATGGAAATGGATAGCACTGGCAGAGCGTAAATTATTGCTATAGTTTGCGTCATCTTTAAAAACAAATGTTCAAGTCAACTCATGTACATGATCATGATTGATATATGATCACGTGTGTTGCAGCAATTGAAATAGAGAAAATAATTTTCAACATATATGCTCACCTCGATGCTCACAGGCTCCCAGAAGATTAATAATATTAGGGTGACTACCAAGTTTACACAGCACTTCTAGCTCTCCTGCAAAATCCCTGTGGTCATCTTTAGATGCATACTCTAATTACAAAAACAGAAAAAAAGCATATTGTTATAACCACATTGTTGGTCATATAGCTGCATACAGACACACACAGATGCTATGCTATACCTTTCATTCTTTTGATGGCGGCATCCATGCGTAAGCCGTCTTTTTTGATACGGGCCTTGAGAACTTGCCCAAAATTCCCTTCTCCAATCACATCCTGGAACTTAATGTCATTCCATTCCAAGACAGGGTATTCTACAGGATCAGGGCTGTTCTTAGCTTTCCTTAAATGATTGAGTGTTGTAGCATTGAACTGCACTATTGGTTCATCTCTCTGAACAAGAGAATGCCAAGTTAATTCATTTTATTTTCCAGTATACTTCTCATAAATATGAGTTGTACCTTATTAATTGTATTTAGTTTTTTACAGAAAAAACACTCTTTTTTACAGAAAACATTCTTTTTTGTTTTGACAGAGTGGGGAAAGGTTAGTATATATCTGTAAAGTTTTTATTGCTTTTTTCACACTGGAGCAATTTTCCCTTATTTCTTTCGGAATAACTGAGGCAAGGAGCAAGCAAAACTTTCTCTATGGGTTGCAGACAATGGTAAAAAATGTTTAACAACGTTGAGATGGGTAAAAACCTCTCTTGTTTTTATTCCTGTTTTTTCTACTCTTTGGTGTGGTTCATGTGCGCTCAATACAATGCTGAACTGGTTAGCAGCTACTTCAGCAAAGGGAGGGAGCCGCTGTGCAAGAAGAGTTCAATAGACTGGGTCAGGCAGCAATGCACAGTGGAAACTGTAGTCCAGTGGTGAGACTCTGTCATGTAATCAAGAGCTTTTTAACTACATTCCCCAGAGAGGAAATTGCTGGGGGAGGGGGGGAAGAGTTGCATTTTCCTAGGCTGTACAGGACATAGATCTCTCTTGCCATGAGGGAGATCGAACAGTGCACTTCGCTGTTCAGTGTGTACCACCGCTGCTGCATATCAGCAGCCTGAGTGGGATCAGTAGTACTGAGTTCAGGGGTGCTGACAGAGTCACCTGGGTGCAGAGCAGAGAGTGGACTAATCACTGTGTGTGACCGGATGGTGAGCTGCAATATTGCTGGGACTGGTGAAGTGCTGCTGTGGGGATTTTCTATCTGCGGCTAGAGAAACTAAGCCCTTTAGGAACTGACCATACAGCCATCTAGTAGCCTTATTGCTGCCTTAAGGCTTGAATGGGACTATTCTCATGTGCACCAATGGTACAACTGGGCCCCAACACTAGCTGAAGAGTTAGGACTGAAGACCGCCCCTTTACAGTTGCTAAACAAACCTTTGCCTGTTGCTTATGTTCAGAGGTACCTCTCAGAGGACATTGCACTATATCCTAGCCATTCTCCTACAGTGCACTCTAGACAAGTTATAGTATAATTATTCACATTTCAGTTAATGCTTGCATGCACTGTTTATTGCTGACTTTGATGATTCATGAGCTAATCCAAGTCTAGTGGTACAGAACGCTATTCTAAGGGCTGTGTCTGAATCTACCTTCTGTGTCTTCATTTATGCGCAAACTTCCATTATTCTAACCTGTACCAATACATTGAGTTCATTTACCAATAAACGTTCTTGTATCTATTTCCTGGTACGAGCTCAGAGCCAAGTTAAAGGTATCTATACTTGTTACTTTGTCAGAGGAGATGAGGTTGTTGGAGTCAAGGTGCAGAACAGAGAACCCAAATTGCCAAGCGGCTCCTGTGGGAGTACAGCTACATACAGTCAGGTCCATAAATATTGGGACATGGACAAATTCTAACATTTTTGGCTCTATACACCACCACAATGGATTTGAAATGAAACGAACAAGATGTGCTTTAACTGCAGACTGTCAGCTTTAATTTGAGGGTATTTACATCCAAATCAGGTGAACGGTGTAGGAATTACAACAGTTTGCATATGTGCCTCTCACTTGTTATGGGACCAAAAGTAATGGGACAGAATAATAATCATAAATCAAACTTTCACTTTTTAATACTTGGTTGCAAATCCTTTGCAGTCAATTACAGCCTGAAGTCTGGAATGCATAGACATCACCAGATGCTGGGTTTCATCCCTGGTGATGCTCTGCCAGGCCTCTACTGCAACTGTCTTCAGTTCCTGCTCGTTCTTGGGGCATTTTCCCTTCAGTTTTGTCTTCAGCAAGTGAAATGCATGCTCAATCGGATTCAGGTCAGGTGATTGACTTGGCCATTGCATAACATACCACTTCTTTCCCTTAAAAAACTCTTTGGTTGCTTTTGCAGTCTGCTTTGGGTCATTGTCCATCTGCACTGTGAAGCGGCGTCCAACGAGTTGTGAAGCATTTGGCTGAATATGAGCAGATAATATTCCCGAAACACTTCAGAATTCATCCTGCTGCTTTTGTCAGCAGTCACATCATCAATACATACAAGAGAACCAGTTCCATTGGCAGCCATACATGCCCACGCCATGACACTACCACCACCATGCTTCACTGATGAGGTGGTATGCTTAAGATCATGAGCAGTTCCTTTCCTTCTCCATACTCTTCTCTTCCCATCACTCTGGTACAAGTTGATCTTGGTCTCATCTGTCCATAGGATGTTGTTCCAGAACTGTGAAGGCTTTTTTACATGTCGTTTGGCAAACTCTAATCTGGCCTTCCTGTTTTTGAGGCTCACCAATGGTTTACATCTTGTGGTGAACCCTCTGTAATTACTCTGAGAAAGTCTTCTCTTGATTGTTGACTTTGACACACATACACCTACCTCCTGGAGAGTGTTCTTGATCTGGCCAACTGTTGTGAAGGGTGTTTTTCTTCACCAGGGAAAGAATTCTTCGGTCATCCGCCACAGTTCTTTTCCATGGTCTTCCGGGTCTTTTGGTTTTGCTGAGCTCACCGGTGCGTTCCTTCTTTTTAAGAATGTTCCAAACAGTTGTTTTGGCCACGCCTAATGTTTCTGCCATCTCTCTGATGGGTTTGTTTTGTTTTTTCAGCCTAATGATGGCTTGCTTCACTGATAGTGACAGCTCTTTGGATCTCAGTTGACAGCAACAGATTCCAAATGCAAATAGCACACTTGAAATGAACTCTGGACCTTTTATCTGCTCATTGTAATTGGGATAATGAGGGAATAACACACACCTGGCCATGGAACAGCTGAGAAGCCAATTGTCCCATTACTTTTGGTCCCTTAACAAGTGGGAGGCACATGTGCAAAGTGTTGTAATTCCTACACCGTTCACCTGATTTGGATGTAAATATCCTCAAATTAAAGCTGACAGTCTGCAGTTAAAGCACATCTTGTTCGTTTCATTTCAAATCCATTGTGGTGGTGTATAGAGCCAAAAATGTTAGAGTTGTGTCGATGTCCCAATATTTATGGACCTGACTGTAGGTTCTAACCCTACAACACATTATTTTTGCCCACTAGAACAAAAAAAATTGGCTTTAGCTGGACTGAACCGGAAGTAGTGACAACTACAAAAAAGGTTGTGTGGTTTCTCTTAGCATTATTGGTCAGGTGAGTTACAGGAAATATGCATGTTTTCACTTTCCACTGTCCTAACCCCCTATTTTGTTATTTGTGGGAAATTGATATCTGAATACCTTTTTTCTGTCAGCCAATCTTCATATTTGTCTTGTATTGGTAGCATTTAAAAGAAGTCTGTACTACGAGAAATATGAAGCCTTTCATTAGTGACTTTCTTCTGGTCCGTGACTGAGAAACTACTAAAGCCAGTACATGACAGCCAGGGAACTAATATTTGCAAAAGACAAGGACAACAATCTTCCCTACAGGTTTCCTTTAACTGACAAGCATTTTGTATATGGCCACCAAGGCATTCATCTGTAGGCTGAGAATTTATCCAAATTATGTGCTCTGTGATCAACATACAAAACACACTGTTGAGAACACCTACCACTCCATTCTGGAAAGCTTGTGCCATTCTGTGCTGGAAATTGGCTCGCTTCAGCTGCAGCATTATTAGAAATGCAAGTAATATTGTCAGACAGGTCATACCAGCAGAGCCCAAAATAGCAATGAGGAGCATATTACTGTCTTTTGACTCATAAGCACCTGAGTGAAAAGAAAACATCTTACTTAATTAAAATGACTACAAAAAGGCCAATCATACAGTATTTACAGCCAAAAATAACCAATCTTTAAAATATTCAACATTACAGACAGTAAGGTAATCCACTATAAGGGTACATACTGCCTAGCCCTTGGTGCCCAACCTGAAGCCCTCTGGCACCTATTGTATGGCACTTGAGGCCCCTCCAGACTGTATTCTGTATTTTGATGCTTATGTAAGCTAGTAAAGAAAAATATATTCTTAAGTTTTCATGCGCACTGGACGTTTTTACAGCTGCTGTTTTTGGCTCCCCGGCATGTTATCCTATGTGCCCATGTACACATAGACTGTAATCAACATTTTTTAGCAGGGGCGTTTTTTGGCTGGAAAAAAACCCCCCAGAACTAGTAGGTTTCTAGAGGAGTTTTTTAGCTGTAAAAATGCTTTCATGCTGAAAAGCACGGTAAATTGTGGCAAACCATTGTTTTTTGGACTTTTCTGACCAAAAAAAAAAATATTTTTTGGGGGTAAAAAATGCTGAAAACGCAAACGTGAAAAAAACACTAATACAAAAACGCTAAAAAACTCATGTTTTTAACGTGACCTTACACAGCTAACGTTACCAGCATTATTAAAACGCCCAGTGTTGCATGGAGCCTTAGATTGCCTTCTAGTAAATAAATGGCTTGGTTTCTTTCATATTATCTTACCTTTTTCTGTGTTGTCCTTCACTTTTTCCTCTGATCTTTTATAATGGGCTTTGCTGAGGGGAGTACCAAATGTAGCACAAGTAATTTCTAAAGTATCAGTGATCTCTAGCAGTCTTATATAATGTACCTCCAGTCTATGACTTCCTCCTGAACCATGACCCAAGTCTGCAACAACTGCTATAGTATGTTTGCAGTCTCTGATCATCTCCTTTAGCGTGTCAACAGTCTCTGACTATCTCTTGTAGCATACCTGTAGTCTCTGACTATCTCCTTTTGCATACTTGCAGTTTATGACAGCTTTCTGTATGTAGCATTACATTCACTGAATAGTATGTAAGGCCATTTAGCAATGTCATGTTCCACACTTGAGACCCCCTACATCACGTAGGTTGACTACCACTGGCCTAGCCATTTCAATCTGCTTGAAATGGTTAGGTCATTGTCTATAAAATGTACACGTGTAGACAGTCTTTAGACATACCAGCAATGTGATCAGATGTTACAAAGTGTTCTTTCAGTTTTTATGTGGTTGGAGTGTGTACGTAACGTTTTTTTAAGTAGTTTTAGACCATAAAAACAAAACTGGCCATTTGACAAAAGCAATTGTCACCTTTATGATTCTAAATTGAGTTTGTAGCAAAAGGAACTAAACAGTAAAAATGCATGTACAGTAATACTATAAAACAATTACTGCAACAGAAAATTCTACTTGAATATTAAAAACAAACTATGATTAAAATAGTGCTAATACGGTCAGCATTATATTAGTTTTAGGTAAATAATGTTGCACAATGTTTTGCAGTTACCTTTAGGTACTCAGTCAAATCTATATTTGCCTTATACAAGCTCACATGTCTACCAGTGACTAATGTTGGCAATTTTTTAAGTTAAAACCATATTTCATTTGTACATCATTATTGTTAAAATTATTTGCTAGTCTTTTTATAATTATTAAGAATATTTTCAAACTGTGGGAATCTCACCTCTGACTTCTTGACGGGTTCTCACATCTCGGATTGGATTGGAATTGCTTTGCCCAACATTGTTCTCCGTACATAGTTCAATCAGATAAAGTGTGTCAGCTTCAAGTCCCTTCAGCTGGTATTGGGTAATGGTTATATTTCTGATCTTAATGTCATGATTGTACCCTGTGTCACCAAAGATTTTATAGCGGATAATGACAGTTGTGATGGAATGACCTTCTTGAATGGACCAGGTGATAATGGCTGTTGAATCCGTGACATTTAATACATTGATATTTGAGGGTGGTGGTGGAACCTCTGTAAACATATATAAAATATAACATAAAATCTAAAATAATAATAGATTAGAGAATAAATAACAGCAACAACAGCTTTATAATGTAACAATAGATATGTGGAAATAATTCTCTAACAGGTTCAAACAATGTGAAATATGCACGTGAATGTTTATTTTTTGAAAGGCATAAATGCATTCAAAGAAATTCCTACAGAACACTATTGCTTCTGTTTTTATTAGTCCTGGTATTTCTGCCTGTCAGAATAAGGCTTTTGAAACACTAATCTGACCATCCTATTATCTCCTGTTCCTAAAACCCTGAATCCACATTACACTTCCCTGCCCCAAGCCCTCTCTCTCCATAAACCTCTCCATCTTAAGCAGTGTAACCCTTCTTTTCAAGAACAAGGGATTTAACCACGCCCTAGAAGACAAGGTGATGGTGATGGAGAGGAGACTTGAATGTGGCCCTATGAGCACCCAAAGAGCAACCTCAGCCTCTGGTTCCCCTATTTTTACAACCCTAAGAATGCTGCACTTAATAAACACCATATTTTGAAAGAAACTGCTGCATACAATGTAGGTAAAAAAACATATTCAGAGACTGTGGAACTTACGGTCACTGTATGTCCATGCAAACATTGGTTCACTCCATTCACCTTGGGATTTTGTGTTTACTCTCACCCTACATTGATACAATGTCTTCGGCTTGAGGCCATCTATATTAATCCCAGTTTTATTTCCTGGGGCTGTTTTATAAAGGGTGGTTTCGGAAATGTCTGGACTTAAGCACTCAGCCTGATTGATGTGTTCTTCTTCAGAGCCTTCCCAGTTGGGCAGCCAAGTCAAGTCTAGAGATGTCTGGCTGTTAGGTGTCAAACTGATATCTTTTGGAGGTGGAAGACCTAGGGAAGATGTTGTAATACAAAAACAGTGTTAGCAAATAATTACTAATTCACACTGACAAATTTTGTCAACAACTTAGATTAAAACAATAAATCTTAAATACCTGAACCAAAATAAAATCAGATAGGCACCCAAAGACTGTTATTTATCATTGACTGGTATGCACAAACATTGTGTCAGAATGTGTTTAAGATGATTCTTGTGATTAATACATCAGGATATACAGGAAAGAAAAAAAGGAGTGTAAAACTCAGGAGTAAGTGCTTAAAACATAGGATCCAATAGGTGGTTTAAAATAATATGTGCCTATATGCATATATTACATTTTCTGGAAAACCAGACAAATGGGTAAGTAAAAAACACTGTAACTTTGCCATATTGATTCCAGTAGGGGGAGTATTAAAGCCACATGCACACAGGACATCAAAAACGACACTTGACAGGTTTTTTTTCTGCCCACTATGTTAACCTATGTATACTTGCATTTACAGGTGTATGGAGGCAGGAGGGTTATTAAAAAAATGGCAGCACATTCACGAGAGAAGAGATTTGCCACAAAATACACCGAACACAACTAAATGCCTGTAAATGCAAAACATGCCTAAAGCTGCATCTTGAAAACTCATTTAGCGCTTGGGCGTTCATTCATTTCAATGGCCAGAATATTTATTTATTCTGGCCATTGAAATGAATGAATTGAATGGAATAAAGTAACTCCCAAAACTAAACTTTTCTACAAAATGTAGCTTTAGGCACTTTTTCTACCACTGCTTTTTCTTCCTCTGGAGCAAAGGCATCTAGGAGAGGAAAAAAAAACATCCTGTGTGCATGTGGCCAATGAAACCCATTCCAATGGGGAATGGAACGATGGGGCAGGTGTCAGTGTCAACTCATTTTTAAAAGGGGTGATGCTATTCCTGCAAGCAGGAATTTTCAGCAGACTCAGGAAGTTGAAATGTTGCCCGTTTCTAGATTACAAGGTGGATGTGGATTCAGGGTGCCTTACATGAAACACCAATGCCATTAGTGCCTGCCAATATTATCTGGATTAGGCCTCCTAAGTGGCATCTCCCATACTTTAAAAGGATATACTGTAAAATAATATGTGTGCTGAGTGTGCTTAGGCCATAATAAATCACTTTCCTTTACACGTTGTCATGTTCCTCAGTCATCACATGCTTAATAGAGTTACTGCAAATCTATCCTCTGGCTTGTTTGCTTCCAAAGGATTATATTATACTTTGTAATGCAGGCAGCCATTGAAACACAGCATAGTAAGGACAGTGACAGCAATTTCCTCTTTCAGTTTTGCAGATTACTCAACCACCTGTCTGCTCACTGGACAACAACTTTAGCATGTAGATGCTCATTCTGTGACCCAGCAATACTTAGTTAATAGATAACAGATGGAAGATAGACACAAGAAACTAGACCTGAAAACTTGTATGATGTTACAAACACCAAATGAAAGAATTAGAGGAGATCACATATACTATTATCAAAAGACTTGTTCATATGTGGAATTTATTAGAAGGTATTTAAAAGAAACAATCTAATAAAATAGTACCAAATGCTTCTGTGGTGAAGAGACTTTCAGGTCCTGGATGACCAACACCTGCATCTCCTTTACGACCTAGCTGAACACAGACCTTGTATTCAGTTCTTGGCTCCAGATTTTCAAGTTTTGCAATTTTTTCAGTAAGGGGAACTGAAAGAAAGTATACCATCATTATAGAAGGAATCAAACCTGTAATGAAGTCAACTTACTGTACAGTCAAAAGCTACAGCTCAATTATGATTATTCATTAACTCATAGCTACCACTGTCTCAAAGAAAATTAAAACTGATTTAAATTTACAGTATGTAAATCACTGCATACATTGATGGTCCTATATAAATTCCTGTAATAATAGGAATAATACTGTTTGAACAGCAGTCCACACATAACTAATCAATTCTACTGACTTTATTTTATGGCTGTATAGTCTTATGTTGTCACCTTTTACATAGACTACCACTACTACTACATGCCTCGATATCTTAGACTACCTCAACCACTAATACCTAGAATCACATCAAATACAGTTAATAATTCAAAAATGTCCGGCACATATAATGTTCATGCAAGATGTTTGGTAATGCTATTCCACCTCCTATGACCTATCTTGTAGACTTAACAAACCAACCTGACCATGTATATAACATAAAAAACTGCCTATCTTTGCTATACACATTTATTTTATTGCACAAAGGTTATCTATATAAAATACCATGGCAAATCATAATCACCTAACTACAAAACTTACTTTTACTTTCCCTAGAGACTCAATAATATTAACATATGGCATGTCAATTTGTAAATATTGTATCTGTACTACAGATGGAGTGATAAATCACTCAGATAAGGTTCTCTAGCTTTAAAATGGTAGTGAGACAAATAGCCACTGTCCCTCTTCCATATTAAACGGCATCTGGGACTCAAGTAGTGAACATCATATTGGTAAGTCTCAAAATTTTCATAAGACTTGGTATTTCTGCTCACAAAGATGTAGCATATGACCAAATGCCCAAGTGTTCTGATGTGTATTGGGAACTGTATTACACTAAAGGAATCTCTAGAATGTTCTTTAAATAAAAAATTGCTTAGGTATCTAAAATTGACCATATTTGCTTCCTTTTTTATTATATTTATATATTTAGATTTTACGTTTCATTTAACCTTTTAGCTTGTAATTTATACTTGTTTTGTGCTATTGTCATTACAAAAGTTCAAACGTCCTGGTTCATTGCAGTTTAAATAATAATCAAGTTTAGTATTTCTTACCAACTAAGCTATTCCATCGAGGAGACTTCTTAGAAGGTTTGTAAAGTACAGTAGCTGTGGCTATCGGACCATCTCCGCCATAAGATTCAATATTAACATAAATATTAATATAGTTAGGTCCACTTTTGTTCAACTTCGGTCCATACTGTGGATAGGGAGCAACTGAACAGAATAATACAAGGATGACAAAATATATATATATGGTGCACAGAACAGAAATACAAAATGTAAACCTATTTAGAGACATATCATCAATATATGCATTAGGGTTGATTTAGTAAGGAGGACATTTTCACTTTGCAAATAAATGTCCTTTTATCTTAGTAAATAAAGCGAAGCCATATTCACTCCAAACAAGTGCATGCAAAATGAAATCAGGATTTTTGCTTGCACATAATGATTAGAATGAACACTGGTTTCTCTATTCCTTTAGTAGATGTATTTTATTTATTTCAGGTACTTATATAGCGTTGTCAATTTATGCAGCGCTTTACATATATATTGTACATTCACATCAGTCCCTAACCCTCCAAGAGCCCTAACATATTCATACATACACATACTAGGGCCAATTTAGTCAGGATCCAATTGGGAGTGGGAGGAAACCAACACAGGCACAGGGAGAACATACAGGTGGTGCTGTGGTTGGGTTTCGAACCAACAACCCTAGTACTGCCAGGCGAAAGTGCTAACCTTTTAGCCACTGTGCTGCCCACTGTGTCAAAATGTAGCAAATATGAATGCAAGGGCAAGTGGAAAATCTGCTCTCATATTACCTGTATGTAGCAATATCAGAAAAGTTTTTACTAAATAATTTTGTAAAGAAAAAACTGTCAAAAAAGTATTCTATCATGCTAGGTTGTTTGTTTTTATTTGTCATTCTAAAGCTCCATACACACGATGAGAATATCGGACGAACGATCGCCCGTTTTTTTTCGTCTGCTAGTCTCACATCGAAAGTGAAAAGGTTATTAAAGATACGAAAATTCTCCTATGAAAGAAAAGAATTTAGAAAGTGATGTCATGTATTGTATTGTATTTGTATTGTATTTTCGGACGTCTACTGTACTGAATAAAGGAAAATCGTACGATCTGGTATCGTACGTGAAAAAATTTTGCGCTTGTCTCTTCGGATATTGTCGCACAAATTGTCATGATCGGCTCTCAAAAGCTGTATACTAACGATCCAAATTATCGGACGATCGGTCCTCATACAAAAATTTTCGTACAATATTCTTATAGTATGTACGGGGCATTAGACTTGGTAACTGGTAAGATGGGTCTTTAGAGGTTTAGATAATTTTTTTTTATCACATTTAAGTGAAATTTTTAAAGCAAACATTAGACTTTTTGGTTCAGTAGTTCATTCTCAACATGGGGCTTTCAGCAATGAAAATATTTAAAAAATGACACAGTCACTGAAAATGTGTGTGACCCCTAACCTATCTGTAAGTTTTACTCTGACCCCAACACTTCAGCTAACTGAACCCTTCAGCCCTGGTCCACACTGATGCGGTGCAGAATTTGCAGCGTTTTCTATGCGAATTCCACACTGCATCAGAATCGCACCCCGTTCATGCGAACAGCTGCGGGTGTGTATATGTTCACAACACCCCGAAAGCGGTCCACAAAACGTGGTGCAATGTGCAGAATTGGATCGCATAGGTGTGAATATCAATGCTATCTGATTCTAGTGCGGAACAAAAAAAGGGTCCTGCACCTTTTTGGTGCAGGTGCAGTGCGATTAGAGCCATACAAAATGTATGGCTCCAATTGCAATGCACACAAATCGCATGTGATTTGCACAGGAATGCGGTGCAGTTCCTGTGTGAATCACATGTGATATACCGCACCGCATATATGTGAACCCGGGCTAAAGGGTATCTAACCCCAAGAACAAAATTGTATAATACTGCAGCTTACCAGTACTTAGACGTGGTGGCTGAATTAGGTTTCTTTTAAGGGCTAAGTACATTTTATGCAAGTACAGAAAAAAAATACCTGTAGATCATGTCAGAAATCTTGTGTCTCTACAACATCCTGTGGACTAAACCGACAAAAAATGTCAGCTTTCTCAAATAAAAAATGTTTTTTCTTCTGTGAAATACAAAGCAACATCCTTCTATGTAATGGAGATGAGAAACATGAGATATGTGCAGCCTACATCAGGAGAGCAGCCTAGGGGTGACAAAACTGTTCCTCCATATATAGTATTACAGAGCAGTAAATGAATGTTGGACAGGAAGAGTGTTACTAGCTGGATCACCAGGTGAAAATAAAGGTAAATAGTCTAAAAAAAAAAAAAACAAATGCAGACATTACATCAAAAAATTACGGTAAGCTGCAATTTCTGGGGGAAATTAAAGTGGCCTCTCCCATTTTTTAAACCACCAGCATTATTGAGCTAATAACATGACAAGATACAGTATTAACAATAACAATCCACGCCAGATTTTGTCCAGTGCACAAGAACTGGCACACATAGACATCATCTGTGGCCCAGCACACAAAACAGGGAAAAAGAAGCCAGCCACCAATGACATATTGTTTTCAATCAGTAGCACGCTTTTCAGAGAAAGAATATAAGCGACCAGTGGGCTTGGGGAGATGCAAAACTAAAGAGACACGCAAGAGTAAGTTGACTGTTTTCATAGTCACGTACTACTACTCATCCTAGAGAACAATAATAGTACCTTCTTACCTTTTACTGAGATATAAACATTCTTGTCGGCCATCCCTGCTTCAGTTTTTACACTGTAGATCCATAGCCCCGAATCCCGAGGTAGAACTTTTCCTACTGAAAACTGGGCAATTGTCAGCTGATTACTCTCATTGGTTGACACAGCCTACATTAAAAAGAAAAATTTTCAACAGAATTATTAAAGAGATTTATTAAGCGATATGGTCATTATAGGTACCAACAGGAAGAATTTACATAATATTACGTGATATAAGATCTGCCAAAATGATGACAAGACTGTTCCTCCATATATAGTATACAGAGCTGTAAGTGAATGTTGGACAGGAATATTACATCAATATGGTCTTTATAGGTACCAACAGGAAGAATTCACATAATATTACGTGATATAAGAACTGCCAAAATGATGACAAGACTGTTCCTCCATATATAGTATACAGAGCAGTAAGTGAATGTTGGACAGGAAGAGTGTTACAGTAAGTGTTTTAGTAACAAGAAATATCAGCGGCAAGTATCAGTGAACCTGGCATCCCAATAGTTACTGCAGCTTTAAAGGCAAACAGCTGTATGCACAGATGAAATACAAACCGCATATACAAGTTGTTCTACTTGCCAAAGACTTGTATTTCTGTCCATCCAGTCCTATATTTTACAGAGCTTTGCCCCCAGCACAGCCTAGCAAGGGAACGGACCTGATCTTTCTCTGCTGCATTTCCACTTTCACTTACATGTTCTCTTCCTATTCTCCCCTCCCAAACAGTGAAAGAAGAAGCAGAAGACTGATTAGCTCATCCCTCTTTTAGTTTGCTCTCTCTCATGTCATTTGCACTGCAGAACACATGTTCCTTCTTTCTCCCCAAACTGAGCTCTATTGTACAATGGATGGCAAGATGTGTATACCAAATCAAAATTCGGACAACTACACTTAAAATGAATGATGAATCAATTAATTACAGAGTTACAATAATCTGTACCTTTTATGTTTCGCTCAAGTTTAACTTTAGCATTAAATAATATCAGCCCATACAAAAGGCATACAGTGTGCAAAAGCCTCCCATTGACTTCCATGGGATGGTCTCCCCTGCCCTTGGAACTCAGCCCCATAGAAATTTAACAGCTGTGTACTTGCAAGGGCAGCCAATGCTAAAAAAAATGTTGCTGCAATAACCAGTAAAATTCTGTTTCATGTATACTAATCTTTA